TAACATAACATTTGAGTAACAAAAAAAAAATGTCCATATCGACCTTTGTCAATATCAAGGAATTTATTTTTGAAAATTGACACCTTATCACGAAGGTAGACAACGCCCCGAATTGAAGAGAGGTGGACGGGAGAGCATGTTGTATCAATGATTTTTTGATTGGAAAACAGAAGTAAACCCTCATCTTGCCTACCTTGAGGTAGGCCTAATTATACATTTTTAGCGGATTTATTTTAAAAAAATGTTAAAATAATAAAAAAATGGTGTACTGACAAAATATAAACGTATATTAAACGTTTGGAAAACTGAATTTATTTTTGAAAGTTGTAACTTAATTGTAAAATATAGCCCAGCCTAGGCAGGGAGTGGCCTAGACGGCATGTCGCGTCAGTGATTTTGATATTCGAGATATTCAATATTACTGGCCTTGTGCTAAGGCCTAATTTCAAGTTTTTGTGGATTTAGCTTAGTTTTTTATTTCTAATACGTTCTAAAATAAAACCGTCTTCAAAGTTGTACTAAATGGCCAATTATGCCCGATGTACAAATGCTGTGACATATGGACAACATTTTAGGCATTTCTCAGCTATTAATGGTTTTAGACCTATGTTGGGACCTATTGTTGCAGCTATGGAGACTTACAATTTTGTTTTAAGCCCAAGTTTATTTATTTTTAATATTTGTTTTAATTTTTTGATATGTAAGCAGTGTTGAACCCGAGATATTAAATGATACATTTTCCAAAATTTTTGATGAAAAAGTGACGAATTATAAGAGATGAAAGTCACGAAGATGGAAAATCGAATCATTTGAGATTCGACAAATTTGGTTTAATTCTTCATTACTTTTGTCAGATAGTAATCAACTTTATTTATTTATAAAAAATAAATTTGATATTAATTTTTATTTTCCACAAAATATTGCATTTCCGAAAATAGTATTCAAGTTTTCACTTCCCATTACACCTTACATTGTATACTCCTTCTTCAAGACTTCATTAAACATAAATTTTGCGAGCCAATGTAACTTCAACTTTTTTCTATTTTTTTTTTTTTTTTTTTTTTTGCAACCAAAAACCTTTATGAGGAATCATTAATACGGCAATAACTTATAAGGCTTTTCTGGAAATGATCATGCAATTGAATACAAAAAGTATTACAGCAACAACAACTAACCCAGTTTTAATATGTGTACATATTTATTGCCTTTTACAAAAATTGTCGTGGAAATCCATACATACTTGAAACTAACCAATAAATCAACCACTAATTGCAATGTAAAAGGAAAGATGATTGATGATGAAGACTGGGGAAAGATTGGAAATTAAAAAAATTGAAGATTTTATGAGGAGATTTAAGACTATCGTGATCATCAGCAACGTTATCTGGGAACGCAACGACATTTTAGGGATCGTTAAAAATTTAAAACTTTTTTTTCTCCAAAAAAATCCATTAAATACCAATGGTGTTTTTCTAACTCCAAATTCCATTTTTTTAATTTTTCTTTTTTTTTTTGGTGTTTTTTGAAAGCCTCCACAAAAAATAAAGCTCATAATCCGCTAAACTTGCCTGTGCAGCAGTTGCCAGTGAGTGAAAAACAAAACGAAAAAACTATTATTGCAAAATATCAACATTTTTAGATAAACTTTTTAAGGCGTGTAATGTAGAAATTACGAATTCGTATAACATTAGTTACGCTTTGACTTTTTTCCAGTAGTTTTGTTGGTCTGCTTGCTGGCTGTCGTGCTTTTTTTCTTCTCTTCTCTATTTAAGCAGTATTTGTTTTTCATCTACTTAACATGCAAAATGCACTGGTTTTAGTTTAGGTTACATTCAGTCCCAGCCAGTTTACCACCATTGAATGCTGTAATAACAACACCTTCTCCCCCTAGTCCCTCGACCGCTTTTGTTTTTTTGAACACTAGCTTTGGATGTTGTTGACTAAGAAATTGAATGTGGCAGCAGCAAGCCAGCCAACCAAAAAAACAGTGATTGAAGTTTGTTTTTCTCGTTTCGTTATGGCTGTATAGATTTCTTGCAATGAGGAGACAACATCAACAGCAACAACAACAGCACGTTTTGTTGCTATTTTGGCAAACTGATTTGTTATGGATTGAAGTTAATAACATCAATTACTCAAGTCAACGTTGCTGTTGTTGTTTTTTTGTAGTTCGTCGTCATCGTTCCTTTTCCAATTTTATTTATTTGCTTATCGAAGCTAAAAAGGGCTCTTGATGCAAAATACTTGCAATTATGTAAAGTAAAAGTTAATACATAGATATTGAAATATTTATGCAAAAAGACAATCTCCAAGGGGGTGATTGATGAAAATGAAAGGAAAATTCGATGACAAGAGAAGTTATTTATGGGATTTTGGCATATATTTCGGAATTTTTATTATGTTACCAACTCTTTGGGAAGACATAAATGGAAAAAGCTCAACTAAGGGAAATTCATTTCGTCAACTCAAAGGCAGTTGTGATAATAATATGATGTTATTTTAATGTAAATGCGGGTTTATGAGACTCTAACTATTTGTAGGGACAAACCGGCGCCGGATAGGGAATGTAACATTTATTTTCTTGCAAGTTTTTTAATCTCTAATTACATTGTTTTTATGTGTGCTAAGAAAAATACGCTCGCTGAGAGCACACGTGCTCTTTTCCACTGATGGAAAACTCTAACAGTTTTTTTTTCTAATAGATTGCAACCAAACTCAATTATCTGTTAAAATTATTAAAGGTCAATAAACTCACACATTATGTTAATGTTTTTAACATTCACTGTAATTTTATCAAATCAGAAAATAATTTTCGTCTACTATTAGACATGTTCTGTTGCCGATGTAGGGAGAGATCTTAGATCTTTAATATTTCGTTTGTGAAAAAATTTTTCATCGCCAACAATTTCAAAAGTCAATAAACTGGTTGCTTATTGTAAGAGAAAATCCTATGCTTATCATTACAAGCACAAAGACCTAAAATGGTAAAGACTAGACAAAATGCATTCTGAGCAAATGGTTTGTGGCTTTACTACCTTGAATAACAGATCATGACATAGGCATGTTAACATAAAAAACTCAATTATAGGAAAGAATGGCAAATAAAAGTTTGGATAATCCAAAATATTGGTTTCAAAATTCTATTCCATATACCTTCCCAAATAATTGCATATGGCCTTAGCGGTTGAAATTGCTTAACATTGGTAACTATGTTGTTACGATATCATAACAACAGAGGTATTTTTCACAGGGTTGCCATATTTGACTCTGTCTTGTCCTATCTTTATACTTTTATGTCTTTGACAAGCATGTGGCTTATCGGTCTATTCAAATAACAGAGAGGAAAAGCGAGAGAAGGATCAGGCGATCAAAGGAAGTTTATTTTAAAAGATATGGTTCCACGGTTGTTACAGAATAGATGTACAATATCTAGGGGCCACTGACATCTATATCATATCGTTAAATTCATGGCAGTATCTGACTGGGAAAATATCCCTTTGAAATTTATATATCTGAAATTTTGTAATCCACCTTCTGTATTCACAAGGATTGATTGTTAGGTCTGTAGATTAAATGTTAATAGCATGTCTGAAAATCACAGGGAGGAATCTTTATGTTAACAAACGTTAAATTCAATGTTAATAACATAGTCATGTTAATAATATAAATTTAAATATGAAAAATTCTGTTCTATTAAGGCAATGTTAATAACATTAGAAAACATTTTCATGGCTTAAAATTTTATATACAAAAATTTAGATCGGTTTTAAAACTGTTAAACTACATTGGTGAAAAAGGTGAATGTAACCAGTACAACATAAACATAACATAATGTTAATCTAATAAAACAATTAAAGTTCATTACCAAAAAAAATATTTGTTTGGAATATTGCGTAGATCCCAACAAGGATGTTTAATAGAATTGTTGTACAAGATTTTAAATGTGTGCTTATGAAGTGCCATGTTTTTAACACGGTGTTAATTTTTTTACATTAACATTGCCTGAACAGGGCAATATTTTGAAGATGTTTACAATAGAGCTAATAATATTGATATTCTAAAGAGCAGGAAACAAATTGTAAGACAATTAAACATAATTTTTTTAATTGAAGATGCTAGGATTGCATTTCAATAACAGTAAATATATTTAGCACTGTTAACACTCTGTTAATGAACATTTGGATACCCAAAAAGTTAATAACTTGAAAATATTACATATGGAAATTTAACTTTTAATGTATTTTAAAATTTGCACAGAAGATCCTCAAGCCATTTTTCTTGAATTTATGTCGCCACTGTCAATAGGATAAATTATAACAGGAGACTGTAGAGTTAACATGTTTTCCACATAAAACTATATTTCGACATAACAAGATCTTCAGTTATTTAAGATAATTGAGAATGTTTCTTTTTTGTTCAACCATACAAGGGACAATATAGCCACCCTTAGAGTCATTAACTATTCCATTTATATCGCCCTTTGTATGTAAAGCGGGATTTGTGAATATTCGAAGTTTTGGAATATTATTATTTTCACTTTATTAAAAAAATTTTGTTCAACATTGTCATTGTCATTATTATTTTATTTTAAGTTTGCTTCCAAACAAAAAAATCTTGTTCCAACCAATGCCACATGCCTTTTTTGATAACAAATAATTCTTGATGGAATATTAATTTCAGCTGTCACTTGCTTCAAAATCCATATTTTTATTCGGAAATGATCACTTTTTTTTGTCGTTGCTTCTTTTTGTTAATTGTAGATTTATAGTCCCACTCAATATTGTTGTTCGACATTTTTAGACAACACTTTGTGAGTTTATATTTTTTCATTTATAATCCTTTTATGAACATGTTTTTAATATTTAATTTCATGACACTTCTGTAGTTCAATCATCTGGGATTTTCTTTGCTTTTTTGTCCATGTTTTTTTTTTTTTTCATTTTTGATTTATATATTTCTTTTATTTTTTTGGTTTTTGTGATTTTTTTTTAAATACATACCGGCTCCAAAGAGTGCAACAAATACAATCATAAACTTCTTCATTTTGTGTGTGTTTTGTTTTCTTTTATATTTGATTTTTAAAAAAATCCAAAGTTTATTAAGCAAAAAACTCCTCCGTAATCTCTGAACAGACGCTGCGAACAATTTGTGTCTGGAATTACCTGAGACAACGAAATACTTGAACCGACTGTGTGTGGTTGGCGGTCTTACATTCGCTTTTTATACCGCTGCGAATGTGCGCACGCGTGCATGAGCTATTGGAAAAAATGTCGCTTGCGTTGAATTGTGATTATTTTTCGGTTTGAGTACACGGCACATAGGTTAGTTGTTGGTGTAAACCAAAAAGAAAAAAAACAACGCTTGGTTGGTTAAGGCAGAGCAACATCAACGGCCAACGAAGCAGCAGCAAAAATAGTTATCGTTTGTTTTTTTTTTTTTTTCGTTTTCACATTGAAGAAACCGACAATGGAAAGAAAAGAGCGGAAAAAAGCACAATGAAAATACGAAAGTCACCACAAAGGGAAAACTCACCAACAAATTGTCTATGAAAATTATACTCTGGAAAAAGAGAAAAGACTTCTGTGGCTAAGCATGCTCATGCAGCATTTGGCTAACATTCACATAATACTCTGAGATTATGCATAGCTTAGACATTTGGTGTCAAGCTTTGATGGCTAGACTCAAAACAAACGAGTATCCACTCAATTCACCAATAACAACAACTGTTAGTCATGCCAACGTTAACAGAGATGGTGAATTTAATACTTTGGTACTTTTTTCGATTTTTTTCGAAATACCAGAAGTCTAAAATAGTTTGTATTTCTGAAAATGTTCACCCACCTTCTGTAGTGAGTAGATTGTTAGGTTAGCAAACTGTAGATTAAATGTTAATAAGATAGAAATGTTACAAAATAAGTTATTTTATACGCTACACCACAAAGTGGTAATGGCATTTGTTTGTAACATGGATAAGGAAGCGAGATTTATGCATGTCAGTCCGTCTGTCCATGTATTTTTGTGAACAAAATGCAGGTCGCATTTATTATCCCATTAAGATGAAATTATCCAAACAATATTTGTTTGACCCAGGGTTGAATCCTATTTAAATTGCTAAGAATCGGTTCAAATTTAGATATAGCTACCATATATATCTTCAACCGATTTCGGGTTATTTGTGCATCGAATGACCAACATCAGTCCGAATGACATGAATTTTGGCACATTCGTCTGAATTCAGTCTCGAAGCAAGTACTTTAAATTTGGTGAAAATCGGTTCCGATATAGCTCTATATATATTTTTCTTCCAATTTGGTATTTAAGTCCCTCACATTCGTATGCACACCACAAGAATGATATATGGTACCACATATCAGATACTGCCGAGCGATTTCGATGTTTATTGGGCATTTAGTACCAGATAACTTTTGGAGTTCAGACATATATTTGCCAAATTTTATCAGATTTAAATTTAGCTCCCATATATATCTTTATCCGATATATATAGATATTCAATGTGAAATGGGCTTCATCGGACATGACAATTTTGTTCCAAAATTGCTCGTCATCTTCGGCCATTTCGATGACCTTTGGGCCCATTCCAATCGACGAGGCTTGTCCGCAGGCAACATTGTTTGCGTCAATTGAATTTTGTACGGGAACAAATGCAAATCAATGCGAATAATCCGTTATAAAGTGGACCGAGCCATGCCCAACTGCTGAGAACGGCGTTTTTTGGGGTGTTCTTGGGGACCTCTCAACACTGGCTAGTACGGCAGCGATATTCTCGGCCGATCGCCTTGGTCGACTTTTATATGGCCTCTTCGGATTATTTTTTAATGTTTTAAAAGTACGTTTAGTTTTCACAATTTACTTCTTCTGTTGAATGTAAATTTCAACTATTTCAGAGCACTCGCGTGGCGTGTATTGGTTCATGGTAAAAATCTGCGGTATGTCATTAAGGGATGTGACATCTCTGTCAAAAGTTATGGCGTTACCAGATGGGTCCGTCGAATATGGGCAACCCTGTACACACTTTTTGTTGCAGGACATCTACTTACTAAGCATAGTAGTGAAGGGTTTCATATAGTCCGTTCCGCTAAGACTTTCCTTACTCCGACTTTTGAACTTCCTTTCAAACCACTTTCTGTAGTCTCAAGGATAAATTGTTAGTTAAGCAAACTGTAGATTAAATTTAATAATATAGAAATGTTAACAAAATGCAGGGTGAGATAACACAAAATGCAACAATGTCAAACGCCATAATTTTTACTTTTTTTACATTTTATTGAATGAAAGAAAAAAATGTCGGAAATTGCATCAAATTTTATAAACAGTTTAGATTTGTTCGAATTGGTCACATTTGGCACGAATTATGGCCTTCAAACGGCCAATGAACGTCACACGCTGCCCGAATGTTGTTTTTTTTTTTTTTGGAAAATTCTCACCAATATGCTTTTGCACGCTTGTAAACAATATAATGAGCTGTCACTGAAATAATTTTAACAGCTGTCGGACGATTGTCTTAGATATGACAGAAGTCTGAAGATGGTCGCAGTTTTTTCATCTCACCCTTTAGTGGTCTTGGAAGACCTTTCCAGCCATTTCAGACCTGTTAGTGATCTAACAGGAAAACCTGGTAAAGATTTTTTTAGCCAAAGTAGTTAAATCTTCTACCCATGGAAGACCAGGTAAAAATAAAAATAGTTGTTTAAGTTCTTCTATACCCTAAAGACAAAATAAAAGTTTTCTATCTACAGATGGTCTATGTTTGTGGACAGAATACCTTTGCTTTAAAATTACTCTATGAAAAATGTTTCCCTTTTAAATTTTTTCATTTGTTTTCAATTTCACGGTAAAAAAAGTTTTTATTTCAATCTTTCATGAAAAAGATTGAGCCCATTGATGGTACGTTTTTGGATACTCATCACTGAAATCTAGCACGAAAGAGCAGCAAAAATATTATTTTAACAATTAGTTGTTGGACATGCTACTTTAAGTGGCCAACGCTTGTTGTTGGCTCAAAACAGTTTGCTACTTTTCGGCGAGTTGTTGGCTCTCGCTTTAGTGTGCCATGGTGTTTGTTGTATGTGGCTTTTGTTTATTTTAGCTTCAGATTGTTGTTTTTCTGTTTTTCATTTTTCACCAAGCTTCTGGTTGTTTCTTGTCTCTTGATTTTTGTATGCAAGTTGCGCATGCGTCATAAAAATTTCGGTCGACGCTGCGGTCGCTGGTTGCGCTGACGTAGAAGCAGTGCTATGTTGGCGTTTGCGACAACAACGACAAACAAACATTGGTACATTTTTAGTTTAAAGTAAATAAAACGAATTACTATTACTATTATTAAGCAGTTTGATTTCTCGTTGTATTTGTTTTATAAACTTTAACATCGTCATTTATTTACATTTATTTTACATTCCTATTTGTTTGGTGTTTTTTTTTTTCTCTTCAATATTTTCATATTGCCAACTACCTTCGTTGCGATGACAATAGATTTATGGGGTGAACTACATAATATTTGTCTGTTCAAATTTTCGTTGTTGTTGTTGGCGTTTTTTTTTTCTTTTGCAATAGCAGTACTATACAACATTATTTATGTATCAATGCAAATATTTTTTTTGTTATTGCAAAAGTGGCGCTGACTATTTTTTTTATAACTTTTCAATAAATATTTACGTTCATTTTGTAGAGCAAAAATTATCGCCGTTGGACATAAATTTGGAGTATTTCATATTTTATATTTCTGTTGTGCCTTGCTGTTGTTGTTATTGTTTTGTTCCTGTAAAAGCATATAGAATTGTATTATTAATTTGACTGTCGATTTAATATTGCTTTTATTTCACTCTTTATGGGGTTGTTGTTGAATCGTTGAAAAGGAAATATAGTTTTCCATTTATATGCAGGACAGTTATGAGAGGAAAAAACAACGGGGGGAATTTGGGAGTATTATAAGTTTCTTTTGGGAGTATTATAAGTTCTATGGGGCAAAAAATTGAGTAACACCTCCAAATATTGATCCCCGACATAGGACGTTACATATGGATCTTTCTATCTCGTGGAGATGAGTCAATCTTGCTATGTATGCATGTATGTATGACCTTAACGGTCGCAATAATGGCCCGATCCTCACCAAATTTTGCATTGCCAAAATATTTTAGGGTCGAAATGGACCTAAAACATAAAAAAAATTTGTTTTTTCAGTTGGTATTTTGTGTGGTGCTAGAGTTAAGGTCTGGCCAGAAGCCTACCAATTTGGATGGTCATCCAATAAAATTTAGCGTGCGAAACATGCCATAACTTTCTTTGTCAAAAATACGATAATTTTTTTAAGCCGCGAATATTTTTTATTTCAGTGAAATCACAAATATACGAAAGGTTAATTCCAACTTTTATCAACACCTCATCAATTCAGAATAGTCTTTCGGTAGAAAGAAAAAATCTAGAAAAATCGCACGAAAAGATGCTATTAATCAGTAAAGAAAGGCCAAAGTCGGGCACGGCTGAGCTACAGATAACAAATAAACGTTTTTATGGGAAATTTATGACAATTACCAATCATGATCTTTAAAGCAGTTATAATATAAAGCCGAAAGGAATAAATCGTACGTGGTCGTGGTCTTCTATCGTATGCTACTAAATTTGACGAAGAATTTTGTGCCTGAACCGATTTTCATCAAAATCCATCCTATTTGAGCTGATTGTGCACTGTTTAGGCATAATAAACGTGAAATCGGATGAGATACATGTGGGAGCAATATCCAAATGTATTTCTATGCTGTATTTGATAGTTGACACCAAATATCGTTGTTGTGGAGAGTATTGCACGGGTGTGAGGGAGTAAAAAACAAAATCGGATGAAACATACATATGGGATCGTAGCTATAAATTTGACACACTTTCTTTCAGGCTACATTCGTTCATAAGTGCCAAAATCCATTCATTTCGGGCTTATATTAAACATTTGGTGCACAATAAACTTTAAATCGAGTGAAGACATATATGTGAGCTATATTCAACTCTGAACCGATCTCGACAAAAATTTGGTAAAAGTAATTCTGAGCTGTATTTGATATATTTCTCTGAATATCATTGTTACGGAGTGCATATTACGGCTGTGGAGAAGAATTTTAATAAATCGGATGAGGAATATATATGGGAGCTGTAGCTATATCTGAACCGATTTCCATTAAATTGGACGCAATTTC